TGAGGAAGGAGTTGTATGTACAGGTTATTATAAAGGAAAAATGCAGAAATCCTCCACCTGAGCAAACATACTAGGGCAGCTTTAAACAAAATGCCTGTTTTTTATGAATAACTTAAATAGAAAAGTTTTCCTCATTTATCAGCACTGCCAAAAAACGTTTTGGCCTTCAGATGAGGGAAACAGAGCATAACAGGCAGCAGCTAACACCTGTTACAGCTGTACACATCTGCTTTAGCTCAGGAACACCTACAGGCAGTGTGATTAATCATCACAAATCATGAATTTTCATCATCCTCACAATCACAATGCTTCATTAATCCCTATGGATGTGGTCACTGTTACTCTAGACAACAAACACAGTAACAGACTGAACTAATTGAAATAATACAACACATTACAAAGTTACAAAATATAAGAAATACCTCTAATATATACAAATAGTTCAATTAAAAATATCCAGAATATCACAGACTCAAGTAAAAATTGTCCACTTTTGTAGTTTGTCAGAAGCTCTTCCAGTGCTGATTTAGTCCACATGGTCTCTGCTGTAATTATCCGGTAGTTTTTATGAATGATTCTTGGGAGAATGCACAGAAATAAATGGAGGAAAGTGTTCAGATATTCAAGTCTGTGATGAAGTCCATGGAAAGAGCCCACAGAGAGCTGATAGAGTAGAATTAGGTGAGGGGTGCTGGTGAACAGAAGAGGCTTGAAGAACTTATCTAAGAGCGGAAGCAAGAGACTGAAGAAGTGGAGAAGAGAAACAATGAACTGCAGCAGCTGTCACAAAGAGAAGACCACATCCTGCAGATCAGTGCACTAGTGATACAGCCTGGTCTTTAATATCTGACTTTACACCATCATCAGTGGATGTATACCCTGTATTGAGGCATCAGCTAAGATGGAAAGTCTATTTTCATCCAAGCAGCCATGCAAGGTTATAAAGCTCATTACACATCAGAAAATGTGACAGGTCAGTTTTAAACTTTAATCATTTTTAAGACACTTGCTATGAATAATGGAAAGGGAAAAAAAGCTTTACCCATACTCTGCTGTTCATCATCATCTTTGAGGTTTAAGAGCTGCACTTTTACCTGAGCTTCTGTAGTTCACTGTGACTGTTTTCACTGGTGCAGATTTCAACTGCAGCAGGCATCTGATTAAGCCTCAGTCACATAGGCCTACAAACCAGTTGGCACCCACTGTTCCTTAGGAGAAAACTAGGACAGTGTTTCCCAACCACTGTATCACGGCACATAGGTGACGTGGAAGATGATCTGGTTCCACCTGATTACTGCTCGAAGTGAGCGGTGTGAGTCACAGGCAGAATAATTACATTCTCTTCCACTAGAGGGCAGTACAACTACCTGCAGAAGAAATTACGTAGTAGTTAAGTTGGTAGTAGTAGTCAATCTTACCTGGGCCCTGAAAAAAATTCTGACCCAGATAAAGGCCCTAGCATGAGTAGTGGTCGGAAGAAAGTAAAAAAGGTATACTGGGGACAAACCGAACCATTTCCGCTATACCTGATGCACAGGGAAAAACGATTAATATGCTTTTTGTGACATTTTTGTTTGGTGGTGTGCAATGTGTGTTTCTATTGTGAAATATGTGCCATGGCTCCAAAAGGTTGGGAAACCCTGCACTAGGAGGTAGTCGCAGGCATCCATAACTGTCGGCAATTTGTCTGCACACACTCGCCAGTTGCACACGCACAGTGGTGAAACAGGAAATGCAAGGAGTTTGCCTTCAAAGTAAAATTTGTGCCTTGGTTTCAGTAATAGGTTACAACTGTTAATGGTTTTTGCAGGCAAAGACTTGCATGCAAACTATGGGCGATCACAGCAATCTGCTAGCAAACAAAGAATTAGAAGTACGTTTTTGGTGTAGTGCCCTCTTTGCAACCATTTTCACCCACACATTTATCCAATACACATTTTTCTCTAGCAGCCAGTGGTTGATAACAGTTGCTGACCTGTCTCCAGGCCTGTGTGAATGAGGCCTCAATAAGCCCAGTGGTGTGCTATGTTGTGCCCGCCACCAAAATTAACGCCAACATTTTCCAACCACCCAATATGCAAACTGAGGGGAGCACAATTTCTGTTTTAAAGTTCTTGGATTGCAAATAGAGAAGCTCTAAAGTGCCATTTAAAAATAATTAACACATTAGAAAACAAGAAAATATTGGCTTGAAAAAACCCGATTAAAAAAGTCTCAAGAGTGGGAAATTTAGCCTGAGAGTTTGTCAACTCTCTCTTCTCCTTCCCCCCCTCACTTCTTTCCCTTCACCTCCAACTGGTTTGAGCAGATGGCCTTGTTCTCTTGAGTTTTCTTTCTCTTAAATGTAGCTGAGCTTGTTGGATTGTTGGAGTTTCTTTGCATGGCGTTGTGGGGTCTTTATCTCACAACAGGTGAACATATTCGATATGTTAACATTAGCTAGTTTGCTGGTTAGAATAAGTTAAAACTTTAACACCATTCTCATTAAACAGGCATTACACAAGCATATGCACTTCATCACATTAGCAGGAGCTATAATACAAAATTTGCTTCTTCTATTCAGTCTTTTCATCAAATGTAAAGACATACAAATTGGATGAACTTAAGATGCAACGCTGTCTAGGTCCCTGACTTTGTCTTGGTCAGAGCATGCTGATTTTCCTAAAATGGGGTTTAAAAAATGACAGAAGGAGTTAAAGACTGGCTGAAAAATGTTGGCTTTAGACTGTTTCTGACCCCATGTCTTTGACAGTGTAATGGGTGGAAGGGGATTTGATGGAAATGCACATGGAAGGAACTAATAAACTATGTTGTCATGAAAGGTGATTTGAGCACAGCAGGAGATTTGATAAATAGAGCTATTTTTGGCAATTTATTCCCCGCCATGTATCACTGAAAACATCAACAGTATAATTTATCACCCTGGTTATTATCTCCCATCTTCACCCACAGACTTTGAGGCAGGGATGAAGTTTGCAGGTTCGTCACCTTTTTTTCCTGAACACCCCTACAGTAGTTTAGATTTTTATGTTCAAATTAAATTTAGAATACAATGTGTGATGCAAAGAAATTAACAACATAATCATCGATGCTGTATCTGCAGGTCAGAAAGTTCCAGCTAGTCCAGCAAGGTTCACAGAAAACACTTTTGCTGTTGCAACTCCAGGCCGAACCACAGGCAGGCACTACTGGGAGACCAGAATGAAGGAGAAATCCAACTGCATGCTGGGATCTGCTTCTGGCTCTTTGATGAGAAGACAACAGATCACTCCCAGCCCAGAAAACAACTGTTAGTCACAGTTAGTCACAGGGAAGGAGCGAGCACTTTTGCAATAATGCAAAAGACTTACCCTTCACTTTTGTCTCCACCTCCCTAGAGGGTGGGTGTGTTTCTGGATTATGAAGAGAGGCAGGTGTCATTCTTCTTTACAGGAAAGGTTTAATCCATATATGACCTTTGCTGGGTCACAGAAAAGATAAGAGTTTTGAATAAAAATAAAACAAAACAAGTAAAAAACTAGTTTGAACAGCTCAAGCAAAAGATTGTAGAAATCAATTATCAATTTA